ATATCACAATCAGTGGCCAGTGCAGGCAGTCGTTGATGCAGAAGTGACTCGATAGCGACATCTGTAGACTTGCGGAAGATCAGAATGCGGTTTCTCGAATCCGCTGGATTGTTTTGCATATTTCTGCCTGGACCACTGGTCCAAAAGTGCTGTAATATCACATTACCAATTTTTCAATATGCCACCTTAGCCAATTAATTGCCTTGCATGCCTCTCTAAACTGAAGCCGGCTGCCGAAAGTCTGGAGAGGAATAAAAAAATGCTTGAAATGTTTTGTTACTTGTGAAGAGTGAAGTCTGGTGTAGATTTCGATGAGTGAATTATAAAAGGTAAAAGCGCAGCCCTGCAATTTATTGCTCGCGCCACTGCTGGCAGAAGGGCCTTCGTAATGAAAAACTCTCGAGAGCTAATCATTATGAATAATAATAATTCAATTTATAACGCGCGCAAATTTGCGGACCTAACGGCCGCAACTCAGAGGCGCGGAGCCAAGCTCAGAGTCACTCGCAAGCACGTGGCTGTAGAGGTGAGTCTTTAAGTGTCTCTTGAAGGGGACGATTGAGGTGATGCTGCGAATGTGCAGAGGGATTGAATTCCAGACTGTGGGGGCAGCCACCGAGAAACGACGCATAGACGTGACCAGTCCTGGATCTTGGCATCAAGAGGAGGTCGTGAGTCACAACTGCGAAGGCATCTGCCGTGTGCTGCGCTGCAAGTCGTCAATAGTGAAGAGAGGTACGGGGGGCAGGCAGATGTGAAGGCGTGGTGGCAGAGGCAGGCAATCTTGTATGTGACCGTGGTTGTTTTGAAGTCTTTGAAGTTGTTTGAGGTTGCCAGAGGAGGTCCGGACTAGGACGCAGTTGCAATAGTCGAGGCGAGACCCAACTACGCAACATGCCAATGTGTTGGCAGTTTCAAAGAGCTCCTCTAGAGAGAGTAACTTTGGCCAACTCTTCCACATTGGCCACACGCGACCTGCCGATAGACTGCCCGTGGTGAGGGTGGGAGTGCAGCGTGGGGGGGGGGGGGGGTTCAAGGGACCTACCCCGTTGTTTCAACCGTCTGGAGATGGAATCGAACCGGTGTTCCCTGAGCTTGCGAGTCCAGCGTGCCAACCATTACACCGACCGCCGCTTGCGAATCTCCCTCTCGCGCACGCTGTGTGCTGCTGAGCCCGCGGCGCGGCACGGGAGACGCCACGCCCTTGATCACCGAATTAAATACAAAATAAATCCGTGGCAGATACAAAAAAACAAACAAAAATATTCTCGGTGCAAAACGGAGCGTTTTGAATCGGCCGGCCCCGTGGCATGACGACCGAAGGAAAATTATTCTGCCGATACTCACCCACACGTGGGTGTGTGGGTGGGTGAGTGGGTGGGTGTGTGGGTGGGTGTGTGGCTGGGTTTGGGTGGGTGGTTGGGTGGGTGCCTGGGTGTGTGGGTGGGTGTGTGGCTGGGTTTGGGTATGTGGGTGGGTGTGTGGGTGGGTGGCTGGGTGTGTGGGTGGGTGGGTGGCTGGGTGTGTGGGTGGGTGGGTGGCTGGGTGGCTGGGTGTGTGGGTGGCTCGGTGGGTGTGTGGGTGGGTGCCTGGCTGTGTGCGTGGTTGTGTGGTTGGGTGTGTGGACGGCTGGACGCAGCGCTTTTTTAGCCTGCGGCTTACAAAGGGCCCGATTGTGTGTCAGTCCACGGCCAGAAGCGTCGTCATCTGCTGCCGGGCGTGAGCATCCACGCGTCTCTTGCCAAGCGCTCGTCTCATTTGGTGGGCCCAAAGCCCTCCCCGCTATATAATGAGGCAAAGCCTCGCTTCTATTTTTATTATTGTTATTCTTCCCCCTCGTCCTCCTAATTGTGGCCCACGATGTGCGCAACTGTGAGAGATTGAGGTGCAAATCGTTGAGCCATCCAATTGTTCTATTTTTATTTGAGAGTTGGTGAATTGCAGGTAACGCCACACACACAACACAGGCAAAGATCACCCGTATAGCCTAAACTGACTGTTGGGGCAAGTGCTGTTAGCGAGCACCTATGAAGGTCGGCACGGCACAGGGGGGAGGGGCAGCACCACGCCCGGCCGCCTTTGTCTCCCTTAGTGGCGATATTTACACACCACACCAAGTACTAATTTGAGGCTGAGTCGACCTAGTGGGAGGCCCAGAACCGGGTCAGATAATCGTCACTGATGTTGACCGTGAGCAGGAATCGAACTCGGGTGGCCGAGTTCGTGGCGCAGCGCGCTAACCACTGCGCCACCGCTCCCCACACACACGCGCACGCACGCACGCACCCAACCCACCGCTGAAGCGGCCCCAGGAGTCCCTCGAGCCGCTGTGCCACGCGCCACCTGTACAAACTACTTGTGCGTGCGAGTGCCGGTGCTTAGGGTTGGTCAAGGTGAGCGGTCAGGAAAACAGTCTCGGCTCATTTTTGGCTCATGAATGCGGGCCGGTATTAACGCAAGCGGGCCTTAGGGTGGTCACCGAGTCGTGAAACCAACTGGACATCATCGTCGTTGGGTTTTGTTTTCAGTTTGGCTCGGCGAGCGTCGTGGCCGCGTGGTGAGGTTGGCTGCGTTGTTGATTGCCGGGGTTATTGCTGTAATTGTTGATCTGTGCCACTGATGTTCGACTCGCGTAGGGGTCCACTTCGTAACCCCCGTTAGTCTTCACGAACGTAGGTTACTGTGAGGCAATCGTAGTCGCCATCGTCATGAGCAGCCATGATCTATCTACCGCTGGATGACTACTGCTGGATGAAAGCTTCCCAAGCAGTCGGAGGATCTTTGTCTTGATATTTTGTTGGTGTGTGAGGACAATAGGCTAAATTAACTTGCCCGCAAGAGTTATCCGAGGCTCAAGCGTGTGAGTGAGCAGCTGCTAGTTTAAAAGGTAAAGGCGCGGCCCTGCAATTGCTCGCTCACACCACTGTCGGTGGGAAATGCCTCCACGAGAGAAAGCTCTATGGAGAACATCTCTGGACGTTGTATTTGGCCTACTCCTCCACGCTGCCCGGACATCTTAGAAGAGGCGGGAGTAGCCCACGCCTTTACCCCGCCACACGCAGCGCTGCCCATCGACTGGCTGTGGCGGGCCAGTTGACACGCGCTGGGTGGACAGAGTGCGGTTCTCGTGGGGATGGAAGCAGCATTCATTGAGCCGCATGGAGGGGGGAGGGGGGGGTTACCCAAATGCGTAGCTTGCGTATGGGGGGGGGTCTACTGACAATGTGCGCGTAGCAAACGGGGGGGGGGGGGTAAAGCCTCGATAATAATTTGTCTACATTGGCCTCCAAATTAGTAGATAGTCCGGCGGTGGACTATCTGTTTGCTTAAACACGTTAATATTATTAATCCTTGATCGTTTCTGCGTGGATTAAATATCGGCCGTTCTATAGGATTTGGGGGGGGGGGGTGCGTCAGATGGGGGGAGGGGGTGTAAAAAGTCCGCGTGCGTACAGGTAGGGGGGGAAGGGTCAAATTAATGTTGACAGATTTTTGCGTACCCACTCAATGGATGGCCCCTATCCCCTGCGCTGCTATTGTGCATGTGAATATTTTTTGGGATCTCAGCCCAATTCGCGCGAGTGATTTCCTTCCGTGTTCATTGGCCACGCGAGGATTGTGCGATCCGTCCGTTGAGCCGTGCGCGCGATAGATTACCGCCCCGCCAGAGACGAGTAGAGCCACGGCAGTTTTGCCCTCCGACAACGGCGCTATAAATCCGCACGGCTTAAGCAGGGCTTAACTCTACCTGGCCTCTAAAACACCGTCCGCTCTTCAATCGGCGCCGAAGCCCAACTTCCGCGAGAGAGCCGCACTCACAGTGGAGCAGCTCCTCTGTCGCTCCGACACATCGCGGAGGGTCCGCAGGAGAGCGCGAATGTTCGATGGAAACCGATCCAAAAATCAGGGGGAGGGAGTGGGGGTGGGCCACGTGGAGTGCGACAGAAATCCGTGGTGCGTTGGGCGAGAAGCGACGCTGGGCGAGGGGGGGGGGTCTTCGTGGAGGGCAACTTGTCTGTGGGGCTGACCTCGCGGAATCGAGCGCACGGTGCTGTCATTTATACGATACCCGAGTAGGCAATTAAGAGAACTACAAAACGTGTTATGTCACCACTAAGCCATCATTTGCTCCAAATAACGTTTTGTATGGCACTGGCCTAATGGGTATTAGCTAATTATGAAAACAATTAACATTGAGGGTTGTTTTTTATGTTCCATAGTAGAGGTTTGTTTGTGTTAGATCGCGTAAATATATAAATGTGTCGCTAAACCCGCCACCACCCGACACAGCCAACTAGTAAGGTTTGTCACGTAAACAGAACGTGGCCAATTCGTCACTAGTACAGCATCACCGGTGTGTTGGAGAGCCAAGCCACAACATTTACAATCCGAGTACGACGTTTCACCAGTAATTACAACCAGCTTCATCAGGCGACATCCATATATTTTTAACGACACATTTATATATTTACGCAATCTAACCCACAAAAACCTCTACTGTGGATGATATTGGTTGCGACAGCCTACTACGTGTTCAACTGTTTTTACGTCATATGAATTTTGTCAGATTATTTTTTTCACGAACAATGATAATCACGGTAATAACGAGTATTGTGAAGTTTGTCAAAGTTAAAGGTGCATCCCTGCAATGTATTGCTCACGCCACTTCAAACAGAAGGGCTTCCGCTAGGGCGCTCCAAGCGATTCAATCCAGTGGGTGTTTTGGCCTACTCTTCCACAACTGTGGTGCACCCATCCATGCCGCTCGGTAGACAGAGGCGGGCGGCGGGGGGGGGGGAGCGAGCGGTATCACAGAAACTCGCCCCATCGTCTCAACCTGCCGTATTGGGAGATCGAATCGTGGCACCGGCGACCTCAGGACTGCAAGCTCACGGAGCCACTGCAGCACCCCCCCCCCCCCCCCCCCGTGTCTCGAACATCGCGACGGTACCACCACGATTAACCCCCCTGCGTGTGTTGCCGCCGCTGTGCGCGTGCAGGGGGTGAAGGTGTTCCCGGGAGCGTGCGGAGGCCGCGACTGTTCAGGAGGATGCAAGTGCTTCCCCGAGAAGGGGGCGAGGGTGAGTAGCGGTCGCGTGGCAGCGTGCGATTTTGTTGCGAGGTGGAGCCGAGCTTGCCGATGCTCCACCGGCCGGAGATGCCCCCGCGGTGGAGACGGTGAGATGCTTTGCGTTGTGTCTCTGCGCACCCACCCACCCCCACCCACCCCCCTTCTCGCGAACGATTGATCTGGCTGCGCGGTGTCACACAGTCGATCCGGTAATGGAGCTCATCTTGACTCGTGCAGGTTCTTCAATGAGTGATGAGGCCGCGAAATAGAATTCTACGACGAGAACAACAAACATCGGTCAGAATCCACTCCTCGTTCCCCACCTCGCTCTCCTCTCCGCTGTCTGGCCATCGCTGCAGGTGATAGCAAAAATCACAAAAAACTACGACGTTTTGATCGCAACAGGAACGATGACGACAACTTGCGTTGCGATCGACACGTCGTAGTTTTTTGTTATTTTTGTTATTTTCTTTGAACCTACCTACGTGACTTTACCGAAAGACCCAAAGAATATGCACACACACACACATATATACAAGCGAGCAACCGTGAGTGACAGGGGGGCTTACGGACTGGTGGCGAATGAGGGTCAGATTGAGAATTACGGGGGGTCACGTTATGGGCGTGAGGCATCGTTGATTAAGAGGATGTAGGAGGTGAGGAATTTTTAGCGATGGAGGTCAAACTTAATGTGAATGAGGAAGTGGTTAGTTATGGGGTCTGGAAGACTTGCGAATTAGCTGCCTCGAAACAAAGACAAAGCTCCCCCGTATAGCCTTAACAGACTGTCGGGGCAAGTGCTGTTAGCGAGCACCTATGAAGGCCGGAACGGCCCACGAGGGGGTGGGTGGCCAGCACCACGCCAGGCCGCCTTTGTCTCCCCAGTGGCGATGTTTACACACCGCCCCAGGTACTAATTTGAGGCTGAGTCGACCTAGAGAAGGCCCAGGACCGGTTCAGATAATTCATAAATCGTCACTGGTGTTGGTCGTGAGCGGAAATCGAATCCGGGTCGCAGGGTTCACAGTGCTGCGCGCTAACCGCTGCGCCACCGCTCCCCACTTCGCTGCCTCAACACCCAGCAGGACCCTCACCGTCCCACAATCATCACAGCACCCACAGCTCGACTATATACCCATATAAACGTGTAAAGAAGCTCCGTGGAGACGTGCACTTTTTGTGCTGTATTTATAACTGAACGTTCCGTGTATAACAACCGCCAGACTCGTTGATTACCACCGGCTATCTACAGTCCAGATGGTTTCCTGCCAAGATGTTTCTGGAACATTGGGCCCCGAATGTCGTCCACCCCTGGTCGTCGATATGTCCCCGAGCAAGCGCCCCGAACCATGGACAACTCTGCCTTTTGAAATCTCTCTTGATGTCTTGATATCTCTCTCCCCGCCCTTCATGAGCTACCGCCTGTCGTCTCTTGCTACCAGTGCCTTCCTCTCGGGATGTCAGACATCCGTCCACCTGTGTTGACAACGTGTTCAATTTTTATCAGTTCCCTGTGCGGTTCCCTACGTATACGCCGCAATCACTTCGCGGGCGTGGCCCCGACAACAAGCACACAATCACAAAACCCTCGTCATGGGCAACTCGACATGCTACTCTTTGGTTCTTTCGGTAAAGTCACGTAGGTATAAAAATCACGACGTTTCGATCGCAACACAAGCGTTCGTCCTCAGGATGTCCGCAGGACGACCGCTTGTGTTGCGATCGAAACGTCGTGATTTATTTTATTGTATACCTACGTGACGGAAAGAACCAAAGAGTATGGATTCCTGCAGTCACGAAAGCTTCAAATCAAGATTGCTTTGAACTCGTAACGGAAAAGGAGGCGATAGCCACCGAGGCACAACAATCCCGCTTGCGCCTGAATGAGGGTGGATCCACCGACGCATCTTCGTTGCCGTCCGCACCACCGCCGCTGCATGTGCCAGTCTGATGCCGGCTTCGTGTTTGCGATAGGCACTGGGCGAGCGTGCCCCAAAGATAATGATCCTCCATGTAGCCGTAGCGGACTGTTGGGGCAAGTGCTGTTAGTGACTAGCACCCATGAAGGCCGGCACGGTACACGAGGCGGTGGGTGGTACTCATTTGAGGCTGAGTCGACCTAGGGGAGGCACTGGGCCAGCTCAGATAATCGTCACCGGTGTTGGTGGCCGTGAGCGGGAATCGAACTCTGGGTCGCCGGGTTCGTAGCGCAGCGCATGAACCACCGTGCCACTGCTCCCAAATACAGCTGGCGGACAGCACCTACAGCGCCCACACCACGCACCAAGAGCTGCAACAGCCGAGCATTGCTACAGATTGTATTGCATTCACGTGGTGCTATTGCGCACGCCTGCGGTCCAGCACTTTGGAGGGGAGCGTTGGCGAATCGCTCAGATTTGTGTAACTCCAAAACCCCGCTGGGGCTGAGAGGTGGCAAGGAAACGGGAGTACAGCAAGTGGGTTTGTGAACCCCGTGCGTGAGGCCCTCTGAGTGTCAGCAACTCAAAATACGGCTGGGTCTCAGCCCATCATCGCCCTGGGGTCAATAAAATTTGCACAAATCTGTGGGGACGACATCAGTGGTTACCGTATGGATGTCCATAATATAATGGGGTTTTTTGGGTTAGATCGCGTAAATATAAATGTGTCATATGGATATACTCGTCCCTGCCATGAGGATGTGGAATTTCCACCACTGGCTCAGGGATGTAAACGGGAGATGATCACCGCTGCCTCAATGCTCATTTGAGCAGGAACTCACTGACGGTTTTTTGCTGTGCATAAAGGAACTGGCCAAACATCCCTGAAAAAAAACATCACAAGTGAGCCCCAATCGCAGTGAGGCTTCTCCGGAACACAGCGAACGCCTGAATTGTTATGCAACATCTTACACCGCCGACTGTAACTCGTAGCAACATCGAAGCAACAGCAATGAACGAAAACCACAACTCCCCATGGTGACCCCATGCGTACGTTCCCCTTCAGCAGCCGCAGCAAACCACAACATCCCACCCCCCCCCCCCCCCCCCCCCATGGCATCCACCACCATCACCGCCACAGTGACCCCAAAACAGACCGCAATTCTCCACAACAAACGCAGGGCATTGGCGGTGCCTCTCTGGATCTGGCGATGTCGAATCAGTCGGTCTGCAGGATTTCTGGCAGGAGGCGCGGCAATTTGTACGAATTAAATATTAAAATGCGGTTTTAAAATCTACTCCGATTAGCCTACTCCGATAGACTCACACATATACCCACAGACACACACAGAGACCCACAGACACACACAGAGACCCATGGACACACACAGAGACCCATAGACACACACATAGACCCACAGACACACACAGAGACCCGTAGACTCACACAGAGACCCACAGACTCACACAGAGACCCATGGACACACACAGAGACCCACAGACACACACAGAGACCCATGGACACACACAGAGACCCATAGACACACACATAGACCCACAGACACACACAGAGACCCGTAGACTCACACAGAGACCCACAGACTCACACAGAGACCCATGGACACACACAGAGACCCACAGACACACACAGAGACCCGTAAATTCACACAGAGACCCACAGACCACACAGAGACACATAGACTCACACAGAGACCCACAAACACACACAGAGACCCGTAGATTCACACAGAGACCCACAGACTCACACAGACCCATAGATTCACACAGAGACCCACAGACACACACGGTGCGAAAAAAGTGCAACGTACATACTCCCTGGGTCCCTTCGAGTCCCCATTGCTTCGACGTAACATGCACAGCCCTTGTGTCTATCCGCTGCTAGACGAGAGCCTCCCCATCCCATGTCAGTCGAGTAGATCGATTCGAGAGGACAGATCATAGGGGTGCAGATTCGAGAGAGATTCTCCGAATCTTCAATCGGCCAGTTGGCTCAGCAGCGCGCGAGTTCAAATCCCGATCGTGGGGCGACTCGACCCATCATCCCCTTGGGGGTTGATAAAACGACTACCAATTTGTGGAAAAATCAGCAGCGGTTGTCCTATGGATAGACTAGCCCACCCACCCCACCCCCGACGTAGTAATGTGTAATTTACACGACTGCTTCAGGGCTGTAGAATGACTTTTACTTTTTGACTTTTCATGCGTACATTTAAAAAAAAAATAATCACGCGAGCAATGATCAAATGCTACGTTGCCCATGGAAACACTGGCGCCGGCAGCCAATGCGACCCCACAACCTCCCTCCGCCGGCGATAGATTAGCGACGCGAGCACGAGAGAATGGCGACAATTCTGCGGATTTCCTCGTCGTCTTCTTCTCTTCCGCCCCCTCCGCCTAGCCCCCCTTCAACCCCATCCCCTCCCCCTGGCCGAGCCGTGAAAGTTGCCGGTCAGGGTGTATCTACTGCAGCATGTGGCTCGGAGGTCAGGGTTCAGCGAGCACAGGGAATTGTTTTTTTTTCAACTTCTGAAGTCACGGTTATTAGCTTCCAAGGCTGTGCCACTCACCCCCCTCCAATCCCCCGTGGTGTCCCGGGGAGAAAACACTTCACCTTGGGATCACAGCTTCAGCTGAACTCTTCGCAACTAGCCCGTGGTTTTGTTTCGTTTCACGGTGGTTCTCAGTTGTTTTGTGATAGGGCGGTGGCGATCCTCTTATCCGTGACGATCCCAATATCAGGGACCCATGTTCACCGAGAGTTTCAGTTTTAGTTTTCAGTTACATTTATTAGGTATAGCCCTGTGAGCCATTCGGCTCTTGAATCTTGAGAGCACTGGACTTGCCATCCAGAGTTCGCCGGTTCGATATCATGGCACGGAAGTTGAAACAAACGGACAAATGGTCTCGAAGCCAGCAGCATAAATGGGTTCGTCGCGGTCATTGGACCGGCGGGTAGCTTGTGGTGAGTTGGATGAGTGTGGGAACAACACATCTGGTCGTCGTGGAAGAGTAGACCAACCACCCTCGAAGTGAGTTCAACACGGAGGCGTTCGCGACCCTCCAAGTTGAC